TAATTACAGTGTCTAGACACGTGTAGAGGTCTGTGGAGGACCGCTGATTAACTATAGACAGAAAAAGCCAAACCAGATCAGAGTGAAATGCATTTTGGTGAGTGGTGCTTTCCTCTGCAAATCTGTAGGCTGGAGTGTTGTGGGTGTTTGGCAAAGTCTCCCTGTACAGTCAATAGGGTGTTCTGCATCGCCTAGGGAGCTGCTGTACTGCGTTCTGGGTGGTTACTTAAATCACCTACCCAAAATTAGTCAGGCTGGCCTTTAGAGAGCGTCACAATACTGTAGGTGTGGACAGGAGTCGGCTCTGGAGGTGTTACTGCAGTGGTCTGCAGACTGTAGCGTGTAGGCGAGCTCTTTGTCTGTAGTGGTCTCTGTCACGCCACACTCTTCCAACCGAAAGCCATTTGGGAAAAGTTCAGAAGGAGAGAACACACTGCACCTCCAGACCGCATGAATAATTACAGTATGCTGAGTGCTGCACACCGCACTGCAGCAGGATCAGGAGAGTTTGGCTTTTACAGAGACATCATTACGATGATAAATTGACTAATGCATCAGCAGTGTGACATTGAAAGGCTTTAAGAGAGATCGCAGAGCTTGGCAAGAGGAAAACCATTTGTTTCATTGTTTTATATCTGTTTTGGTCTCGGACAAATGAATATCTGTTCAGATGATATTCTGCATGTTCATTTCCAAAGTCAATTCCACATTTAGAAAAGTAAATTAATAAAATTCCTGTACATTTTCTTGGTTAATGTTGGGTGAATTAATGATTGCGTACCGGTTTCCTGTGTGAAGTGTTGTCTGATGAAAAAAAAATGACCAGTCGAGCAGTGCTAAATAACAATCAAGCGATCAAAATAATAATAAATAGGAAATACTGCAATGTACTAAAATAAAGAATGTTTTTAACAAATAAAAAGATCCACTAAAAGAACAAAACAAAATTTTCAAGATATGTACATGTCTCAATATCTTGTGCAGTTTTGTTCTCATGCAAAAAATAAATAAATAAATAAATATATATATATATATATATATATATATATATGCCAAAACAGCATTTATTGTTTGAATTTCCTGAAAAAATTTATATAATTTGAAAGACGAGACTTTGTTTCTAATCAAAAGTAACAATATATAAAACTGAAAGTTTCCAATGAAGTTTCACTCGTGCAGTGGTTAAAACTAGGGATGCACCGATACCGATACTGGTATCGGGCCCGATACTGAGCTCCTGTACTCGTCTTCGTACTCGTTAAAATGCCCCGATACCAAACACCGATACCACACAGCATGTGTTGAGTGCCATATTCAGACAATGAAACACCAACAACAGACAGCAGAATGGAGTTATTAGATTAAGGATGTCTACGAAGTATATGCATGCAATGAATATAATGTTAAACAATCAGTATTGACTGTATAGCTGATGTGCGCGAGCTGATAAGCAAAGCCCAAAAATAAAAGAATATATATATATATATATATATATATATATTTAAAGTAGCCTACTTGGTATAAAACATGAAAAGATGAAACATGAAAAAGGCAGCATGGGACACGATTAGATGAGAAACAATGTAGGGTAGGATTTGATTTTATATTGAAGTCATTTGATAGGTGGCAAAAGTTATATTTTGCTGAATCATCTTATAACATTATTTTCTTTGGATAATGTGCGCTAATGAATCAGTAAGACCAGGAAGATGATTTCATGTTGACTGGTGTGTGAGATGGATGGTCCTGCAGCTCCGGCTCCAGCTTTTGGAGCTGAGGACACTAACACACGATCAGACGTGACGCTGCGTCTGACTCCAGCCGTGACCGCACAGGAGAATCTCTTTAAAAACTCCTCGGTGTTTGTGCATCAGCAGAGAAAGCCAGCGTTATTGAATTGCTGCCCAAGACCTTGCTTTGTGTTTGTTAATAAAACTTTCCTTGACGTGTTTGGCATGAAAAGCTTCTTATCTCCTAATGCACCAGTAACCCATCACCCGCGGAACCGATGCTGTTTCGCCTCACGTTATTCCCAATTGTTAGCCATAAATAATTAATTCAACTTCCTGTTAGAAGGATTTAGAATTTATCCTCATTTCACTTCATGAATTCTTACAGTTAGCAGGTCAGACGTTTGAATTTGTCATTGAGTTCATAGTTTTTATTACCGTATTGACCCGAATATAAGACAATGTTTTTTTCTTGGAAATACATCTGAAAAAACGCGTTTGTCATATATTCAGGGTCTAGACTTTGACATGTCAATAATACACCCACAACACTAGGAGGCGCCCAATACGCA